CTGGCAATGCAATGATTGATTCAACGTCAAAACTTGTGTCAGTAGTATGCATGTTTACAATGACATGATATATAGTGCAGTCAGCGGAAGAGTATCCTAATCATTCTATTTACAAAAATGATATGATGAACTTGATTCTTCATATAATCATTTTGCCAGCAAAATGAATAACATTATAGACCTGTGTTAGGCATTTTATGATTTACAACTCCAGTTACTCGATAAATTTACCAAACATAAAATAATGAGTATCTCATACACCGCTGTCTGGCATTTGGCGGTTGCATTTGGCCCAAGTAAATATCCAAGATTGATGGTTTGTCTTTCTTTTTGTATTTCCTTCTTTCTGTCTTTTTTTTTGTTGCCCTTTTTCCCCCTCGCTACTTCGACGTATAAATGACACGTATTATCCTCGGAAATACATCCAGTTTTACCACCATATTGTGAAAAAAATTGGTGTCATATTAGGTCATATTACTTTTCCTTCCATAAAAGATAATGTTTAGATGTGAGGGTGTAATTGAGTGTGTGCGTTTTGTGTGAGCACGCGAGTGTATGTGCTAGTGCATACAGCTTTGTTCATGTTGATATCAGCATAGCTTTCTCGAAGCATCATTTCCTTTGGGCATGTCATCGTACCATTTTTTAGCTGTTAAAGCTGTATCATTTCCTCGTCCCCACCACTCCCCTTTTGAATCCAAAGCCTAATTGATATCTAGGGCAACCTGGTTGCCATTTTATACTTGTCTTTGTAATTATAAACACCCCTAGTTCATAACGTCGCTCGGAGACCGTGACTTAATTTAAACTGACCTATTTCAGCAAACTTTATAAGGGCCTTTTCTTTACTCAGTGTAATCTATTTTACGTTGTGCATGCATTGCGTTTTCCCCTTTATTCCACCTTTTTAAATGTATAGGGAAACATTCCGTTTTTTTTCTAATATAAAGTTATCGAGAAAGAGTTGGCTGATATTAGATACGGACAAGAGAGGAGAAAGGGCATCTGACATCTCATATAAAGAAAACCTACATGTATGTATCAGTTTTGCAGATGAAATCATGAGACACCTAGTTATTGTTTGCCAACCGATATTGGCTTTCCCTTATACATAGTGAAAAATGAAATGAGATTGTGCGTCGATAGTTCAGATGCATACTCTATGTTTACTGAAGAAGGTCCGAATGAAAGAAGGGATGAAGCGTGGAGAAAGATTGAAAGAGAGAGAAAAAGAGAGAGAAGGAGAGATAAGGATAGAGAAATGAGAGATAGAGATTGGAAGGGGTGGGAGGGATGTGATATTAGCTAGATGAGATTTATTACCCTCTAGCTCGCCATTCTCGGTTGTGTTTATCAACCTGTTCCAATTGAGGATGCGACCAATCACCCACACACTCAAGGTAGATAAGATATGGTGACATGTTTTTCCTTCTTTTAGTATTAAGAGTATTAAAGATAACGGTGAGTTCTGGTCATCTGGTTGCATTGTGAAAGAAAAGGTGTGTTATGGATCAGAAAAAGTTGATCATGTAGCATGTAAGTATTGGTGTGTACTGCTAAGTTCTGGAGTCATCAAAATCATTATAAATTTGGTTCAGTTTTGGTAAAGTAGCAAGCACTGTACACAGTTGTGTCAGGGCTACTAACCTTGATTTCCTAATCTTTCTATGCTCATTACTCAGCCAGTATACATTTTCTACCAAAATTGTTTGGCAAATGATAAACTTGAACATGCAGTGTAAGTTTCGTTTGATTATGTGAGCATTCATTTTCTTTTTTGTTAACCAGAACTCACCTTTATCTTTGACATGGATTCGACCTAAAAACACATTTTCCTAACAACGTTAAGCTTTGTAGTCAGAGGGCGAATTAAAGTTCGAAATATTCATCGAGAAATATATTTGATAGCTGGCATGAATAAATCTTAAGAATAAAAAAATAAAAAAATGTGTTACATCATTTAGATTTGCTTATGGATGTAGCTTTGCAAAACCTCTCTCATAAAAACCTTCATATGGGCAGAATCTTATCATCACCTTCCCGAGTGCTACTTGATATAGTAAAAATTTTATTTAATGAATATTGATTGTATGACATTGAAAAACAGTTCAAGAAAATGCTTGCAAGAGATATTATAAAATTGCTCATCTGTGTTTGACCGTTAACAAGTGTAAAGAACTGCGCGACCTTCTGATTCTTTAGCCGATATTTTCAGAACCTATCGATATGGTAGTTATATCATGATGTTGTTGATAAGTCCAACTTGACTTCAGCGGTGGGCCCCCAAACGCCCACCCCACCTCATGGAGTGTCATCTAAGTTAATGGTCAGGCACTTTAATGTAACCTTGTAGTTCTCACCATTAATAATGGTTCACCGATTTATATCTCTAAAGGTTTGTTCTGTCACATTCTTCCCTAACACTAATTAAGAGCCACTCTCCTTTTCACACACAGCAACTTGTTATGTAGGCCGCGAAATGGCCTGGATATTACAGGTTCAATGAATGCATGGTTGAGCTAGAATGTAATAGTGAGAGTCCCTGCTGAGTATGTTCCGTTTTTTTTTTAAACAGTGTTTCTAAATATTGGAGACTAAGAAACTAGGGCACTTTACTGTTTTCATTACCCTTTTTTTTCTTAAACAGAAATTCTTCTGAAAAAAATTCAGGTAACCACATGGTAATAGGGAACAACTTCTTTTTTTTTTAAATCGGGGAAATGGATTGCATTTATGGCTACCTTAAAATAAATAATTTGCAACGTAAACATTATAATAACTTATCTCATGGGATCTCTCTATCTTCGATTCTTTCAAGAGTCATGCAATCGCCCTAATTTTTTATTCTCCGTATATCGAATGAATCCCTCATCATTTAGAAAATATTTGAGGTTAATTCATATAATGGTATAAATACCTTGCACGAATTAACACTTGACTCATTCTCGATTGATAAATTGTGCTCGTGCGAAGTTACTGATACGGGAATACCATAGTACTTTATAACCAATGACAGATTACCTATAACATGCATCATTAGCAGAATAGGAGTTGTTTCAGGAATTTTGTATTTTGATAGTAGTATCTCTCTGCATCGAGGCATATATTTTGAACATGTAATACATGTTTCTATCTGTCAATTATATTGTTGTTATATTTGTGTTACTTTAAGTATTGCAGAATCACGTTCGTGTCAGCCAAAATGAAGAGGTAACTAATATAATCATTAAATCCCTCTCTTTAGTATTTTGAATAAATCTAGTCATCTGATTGGTCGAAATTGATTTTAACCATGCCGGTGAAGAAACTTAAACAATTGTTTGAAGGGCAATAGTTGTTAAAAATGAGAAAGATGCCCGTATAAATAATTTTTGCCGAGATCCCAATTGGTTTACGTGTAAACAGTTTCTTTGTGCGAGCGCAGATACATATTTACAGTAACATGATCGTAACATGCAGGAATCTTTTCAGCGAAGATTAACAGACAGTGTCTCAGATTTTCTGTCATGTTTTAACCAGTCTTTCCTCAAGAAAAGAATAAGGTAAATATTCTTTGTAGAATGTTGTAATTTCGGTATATAAAAGATATATATGGACTGCTTTAATATTCGAAACATAGCTATTTCTACCGCCTCGGTGCCTCGGGCCCGGGGCGTAACAGGATGTAGCGTCCCATGGAGCCTATAGAAACAGCGACGCCTCTCATAGCAGTAAATAGATCTATAGTAGTACCCAGTAACCAGTAAATAGAGAGCGGACTTCAAGCATCTAGACGTGAAGGAGAGATTGACTGAATTTGCCATTAATACGAATGTTGGACAGATACACATTTATAATCGGGGAGTTGGAAAGGAATAGGAGGTAATAGGAAATATAATATATAATCATAAGAACGAGACAATGTGGATACCAAAATGAGAGACAAGTCATGACGCCATATGAGATTTCAAAGTATATAGCATAAATATTCTAAGGTGTCAAACATAATTTAATTACTTTAAACACAATTGACATAATAATTTAGTGTGGTACACACAGTAAGAATTACAATTAATTCAACAGTGCTCAACTTGGTGTGTATTTACAAAAACATAATCACACAGTGCGCAAAAGTTTAAATACAGAACATAGATATGTACATCATTCATACACACGTTTTCCCACATGGATCTTAGTAATACATGTAGATAGAACAGTTAACTATATAATATGCAAATATAAAATAATGTCAGATGCGTTTTAATGACCTTTCCCCCTCCTTCCTTTCAAACAGATATGATACACAAATCATAGATTTTAACACTGAACTGCATTTTCCCTACATGTATCATACTTACAAATCACAGTTTATTCTTTACTTTGTATTGGATGTTTAAAGAAACACAGTAATAACTAACAAAACAAGAGCATTCTCGAACTAAATGGCATCGTCAAACATACGATGATCTTATTTCTTCCGATCTATACTGAATTTCTCATGTTGGGAGTAAAAAGTAATATGTGGGAATTTGTTGTGACGTGATAAAATAGTTGTTAAAACTAATAGTGCATCCTTGCTCGGTTTTGATAAAAAAATTGTTAACATTTTTACATTTATTTTTTTGAAAATGTAAATTGATTTTAATACCATGGACATATTAAGAACCGAACATTAAATACATTTTAAAAAAATGAACTTAAATTTTTCTGTTCATATTTCGTTTTGAAAATAAAACAAATAACTAAGATTCGTGAAAAGCATTATTCAGAGTAAGATATACAAGTTTTACATTTCACAAGTTTCAAGTTTTGTTTAAAGATCAATGCTTTCTTTTAGTCAGCTTTGTTCAGGTTGTTCTGATTAATGCGCAATTACATTCACCGAACAGCGTCAGTTGACTCTCCCATTAATTCTAACATTAACTCTTTTTGGCACGTGTTTCACAAAGACTAAGATCGACTTTAAGTCGGACTTTACTATGGCAGGCGGTTCATGCCACTGTTTTCTCTTAGTATTTTCTGGCATTTGTCTCTCAAGGGACGTACAAATCAAGGTCACAAATCTACAGAATATACATTTTTCGATGATTGAAGGAAACACATTTATATCTAAAGATCACAATGGTGAGAGCAATCGGTGGCATGAATGGCCTGCCATGGTTAAGTTCAACTTCAATTTGATCTTAGTCTTTGTGAAACACCCCCTGATGAGATATAAATGAAGTTTACAAGCATTTCAATTATAAGTAGGAAATGTTTGCATAATATAATGTCTTAATATTTCGTATTTGTTCATTTCATCTTAATTAACTTCACTTCACTTCATCAAGAGTTCAAAAATAGATTTGCCTCATAAAAATGGTCGGTATGCCCTTGAACCTATACCTTTAACCAACTAACACCAAGCATAATCAGTTAATGAGAAACTGTTAAGTATCACAGAAACCATTGCACTCGAAGCTTCATTTTCTAGCATTTCAGGAAACGTCTTAGAATTGTAAAAATGGAATGCAGCATTTCCAACATGTCGATTATTCATGATTTATTATGTTGTCATTGTATTGATAAATTTAAGGTAGCGTATTTAAATGATTTCCCTTCTCCTTAACTTGTTGAGTGTTATTTTATTTATTAAATGTCGAAAGGGTTCTTTGCCCTTAAAAACAATCCAGTCCTTCTCAAATTAAAGCTAAATATGGATATTAGCTTTAACCCTAAACCAAAGGAGGTAAGGAAAGGTCATTGTATATTGGACTAAGGTGGGTTCAAACGCAAGGAAAGTTTGCTTTAATCATCCTTAGAGCAACACGATGTGAATGCACCTTTATCCAGCACCGTTGACGAGCTCCAATCGGTTCCATCAATTTCTGTCCAATTCTCCCCAATCATGGAACTAACGTAGCCCCCGGGAAGAGCCGCCTGTGCATTGGTTCATTACGCACTTATCAATACAGTTGTCTCCCCTCATCCACAGGTTTCAACACAGATCAAGACCATTAATCTGATAAGTCTCCCACAAAAGGTTGAATGTTTCTTGGAGAAGACTTGGGCGGTGAACCTATTCTGACAGGTTTGTTAACTTTACCAGGCCGCCGATCGACTGGATACAATCTTCAGTTGGTAAAGGCCTGTCAAGGAACGACGAAAAACCACCGGTATCCCACTCAATTCCCACCGATAATTGATAGATTGGGAAGTACAGAGAACTTGCTGAATGTTTTTCTTTTGCCCTGGTGATCTAGTTTGGATAACACCCAGAGGAAATATAAACACACGAGGGTGTATCATCCGCCAATGCAATCTACCGACACTTCCTACAAAAGAATACATATCTGAAACTTCAAGTAGCAAATTAATTCGGTTAAGTTAATGATTTTGTTTAACAATGGTGAATGGTTTCATTATGTATAATTGTAATCAGAAAATGTCGGTAAACCTTTTCCTCCAGGTTGCAAACGAGCGAAATAGGTTTCAACCTGATATGGAAACTGTGAGTTTTGTCTGGTTTATCCTGCATCATATCCTGCGTCATCTCAGTATATACCTTTAAGATCCGAGCTTGACTGTGTTCCACTCATAGATTGTATACGAACCGATGATCACTGGTGATCAAATGCTTGAAACTCATCTCAAGATTACGTCGAAACCAATTGGCATTTCTTTGTAATGGTCTCTATATACGACATTTTTCTTTCTTTTTATCTCAAAGAGATCGTTTCCGAACTCATGCCACACTTTCAAATAACCTTCCATGGACTGACGATGAAATCTTCACGGTGTTATCAGATCATCGGATCATAGCTTAGTACGAATGGCTGTCCCAAGCAGACCTCGTTCTCTTCAGAGTTCTTCGCCTGAAGACGATTCTTCGGTGGCAGTGTTCTCGTGTTCCCTCGGTATTCTACTCTTATCAGAGTGCCCAAAACACATTATCTTTAGTCATAACGACGAGTCCTCTTTGGTGGAGTTAGTTGTGATTCTTTCTGTCTTCGTCTCCATACTGATACTCATGGCGTGTCCTTCCCTTGAGTATTGCCCACACGCTGCACCAAAGACACTCTTGAAGTATTTCTTAAAACTGGTCGTTGTAAAAGCATAAACAAAGGGATTGATGCAAGAGTTGGCATATGCCAACGTGAGAAAGAATATTTTCCACCATTGTGCGATACCATAGTTTGCCATTATGACCTTCGCCCCCGATGCTGTCATGATGTTAAAAGTGTGAATGGGTGCCCAGCAGAATGCAAATAGAACCACGACTATGAACACCATCCGGGTAATTTTCTTTTTCCTACGTAGTGCTCGGGCGTGCGCCTGCGCACTTTCAGTGCCTCCCGAAGTTTTCTGCCACACCTGAAGAAGAATCTGAATGTAGCATGCCATGATGATAATTACTGGAACGACATAAAGCTCGAATGATGCAAAAACAGGGTAATAATCTTTGGCTCGCTCCCAGGGAAACTGAGGATAGCATGCCGTATAGTTATTTACCACGTGGACTTTCGTGTAGATTACAACTGGAAGATGGAGGAGAAACGAAACTGTAAAACAAAAAGAATACAGATAAGACGATTGTTTTAATATAACAGACACACAACAAATATGAACATACGGGCGTAATCAAAACTAATATGTTCCCAAGGGTTTAATCATTCTTCCTACCGTGATTTCTATCTTTCTGATATTCGAAGTGTTATCAGGACCTTTCCCGACCTGTTTGTAAAAATGGTCATGTGAATTCCCTCCCACTATGACTATCTCCACTGGAGTGCCGTTTTGCTCTATTTCTTCATCATTCCTTGACATTATTTCGTGTCCTCACAGTGACTCGGAAAGAACTAGGGCTACATATCTTTAAATTATGACATGTGTGGGCAAATAACAGTAAATTAATGAAAAAAATTCTATATACCAACCTCGAGGAGGAAGCGAGCTTAATTATTCTCCACCAGTACTCTTTTTCAATAAGGTTCATCTTCCTCTACGGCTTCCATTAGTTTGTTGAGGTTTATATGAAAATCGTATCCCTAACCATACTTGATAGTACAAGTCTATCGGCTCAATTGAACTAGCATTCTAATTTGATTTATTTTTTCTGTTCTTTTTCCACTGGACTTGATCAGATGAATAAAGAATGTACCTACCTGCCCATATAGAGACGTTGATGACTATGGCTCTAAAAGTGGTCCGTGTGTTTCTTGATTTGACAGCATGAACGATCAAGTAGTATCGATCAATCGTCATAGCGGTTAGAGTGAGGCAAGTCGCTTGGACGGATGCCTGTACAAAATATAATATAAAATGAGAGAAAGAGAAACTTGAGCACACTATTAATGATCTATTGAAATTTATTAGGAAAAGGACAAAGAAAGAAAAAACATTGATTTTCGTTAGCCAAAAACAAATAAAAATGTATAGACATTTTAGCCAATTCTAGAGGGAAAATATTCGTGAACGAGATTTGATTCCTTTCTCGTATTTCCTCTTAGATTTGTTTTCATAATAATTATGCTCAAGCGATTTAACAACCAATGACAAAGGTCAGCGTTACCAAACAAGTGCAAAAAAAGTATGGAAGATATTTAAAAAAAGGTTAATTATGCGTTATATAGTGAGGTGTTTAGGGTCTTCACAGTGATAAGTCACTAGATTTTATCGAAAATAAGATTAAAAAGCACTACAAACTGTAATTATTTAAATGGTTATAAACACAACATGTGTGACATTAAAACATAGAGTCCATATCTTAAAATTCCTAACATCAAATATGAATAAACAGGGAGTTAAAGATCAATAATTATGCGTGTCACATTGCTGTTATGATATCCCTTCTGAACTGATACATCTAAACCAGTACATATTTCATACATTCTGGAATTATACATCATGTTTCAAACACCATTGTCACAGTGACTGGTTAATGGTAAGGTGAAAGGTTATTCTTTTGGGTGGCATAATAGATACAGCCTAAGGAAATGGAAAAATAGGTTAGAAGATATCACGTGCCTGTAAACGAGACTCTTTTATCGCTTTATAACCATATTTATGAGTATACAATTATACAAATCGATGACGATAACATATGTTTCACAGTGCTTTTCGCCACTTGGTCTGCAAGAAGAAACTCTTCAGGGATGCGTTTAAATACCATGGCAACAACCCCATACATTCAGGGCCATTACAAAAATAGACCTTTTAAGTGATAGTGGTTGAAGATGGACAGGGTAACAAAAGTAGAATTATTTCTTGGAAGCAACGTTGACATTTGAATCTATGCATAACACCACATACGTCCATTTATCCTCGCTTGTCTCCAATTCCCACCAAAGGTATTTGGTTAGCATTTAAAGATACAACTTTACTCGGACACTCCAAAAAAAGATCTGTTTCGTATATGTAAATGCCTGTAAGTGTATACTAAATGAGAATTGTATCTTTTTAATTTGTCCTCATGTCATTCGTTTTGTAAAATAGAAATATAGATTTATATGTATTTATATTTCTCTTTTACTTAAACGCCATTCGTACTTTCTCTTTCTTGAAAAATATATTGCACTGTAATTCATTGGGTTTTATTTTGGGCGTCTAGAGTAGGGAGGGAATGACACTCCACTTTAAATATTGGTTGGCTCTCTCCCTATCTCTAGAAAAAGCTGGGAATAGAAACTATACAAACAACGATTAATATTCAATTCTAGGTGTCAAGACTCAAGTATTTTAATAGTGAAATATCGACAAAAAGTTTTGCGAATTCCAATTAAAGTTATGCCATTCATCCTCTGTCGTGATTACGAGGATCAAACGTCAAGCCTGTTTCCACGCCGAATGGGTTTCAATATTTGAAACAAATATAGAGTTGCACTGAGTGTGTACTAGGTAAATAAATCCCTTGAAAATCAGCGTTCAACTGTATGTGAACTAGGTTAATCCCCTTAAAGTCAGTCTACACTGAGTGAGAACTAGGTAAACCAATCCCTTGAAATTCAGTAATAGTAGGGAATTAGTCTATATTATGTAGGTTCGTTACAGCATCGTCTCAACTAGCAGGGTTCCAAGATAAACATTTATAGAAAGCGGAGAAAATCAACTCTATTTGGAGATTTTGGAACCTATGCTTCGATTGATGTGTTTTTTACAAGATTTGTACAGGAAAAGGGACTCTTTTATTAGAGTGATGGAAGAAATTGTGGTTTACCATTGCCACAAAAAGACATGTATTTCATAACCAAGATTGTGTATGCACAGGACAAGATTTATGTTTTCATTTGTTTTATTGTCAAATTCGGAGTGGGTCCTGTTGGTAACATTCATGTATTGATTGCAATGTAAAATTCAGCGTGTGGTCTGCCCAGTAAACGATGAATTATTCATTGCTCTCGAAAACGCAGGGAAATAAATCACATCGAGTGAACCAGTTATGCATGCCCTTGATAATAACGATCGGTTTATTTAAAGGGAAAGACGAAACACAAAATCAAGGCCGAACTATACACACATGGGTAGAGAGTGGGAAAGGGAACAATCCAGATATAGAGAGGGGAGAGAGGTAATTAAGACACTAAAATTAGCACACTGAAAAAACGGAAGGTGTAATGAACGAAGATTACAATTGGTTAGTTAGTTAGTAGTTTAAATTAGTTAGTCGTTTAGTCACTAAGAGATGGGTAAATATTGTGAGCGGCTGCAGTTTCAGAAATAAAAACATGAATCCGTTGGGTTAGATGAGGATTGAACACAACAATTGTGCGACTACAAGCGTCGCTGCCTTCTGAGAGCGCAAACACTTTAAACAACACTCGGTAAATGAACTTCTTTTTGAGGGAAGAAAGTCGTGGAGGGTTTCCTTCTTTCTAAGCTCTCAGAGAGTTGTTTTTCAGTATCGACCCTTACTCCAGGACATGAATAGGCAAGTAGACCCAGAGTGAAACTAAGAGAGGCACCTATTGATTGGCTCCTTCAAGCCAACTAGAAAACCATGACGATCAGTCCACCAAGAAAAGCCAGGCACGAAATGGGGCAGCACGCTTCTTGAGCGAGAAACTTCGGGCTTGTATAATAGATTGCTGATTACGATAACTTGATAACGCGCTAGAATGTTGGGATGAACATCGAATTGGATGTGCTCGCTGCGATGTGGTGTTCCATTCCATTTCATTAATCATGTTAGTACAATGATTGTGTTTGTATATTTCCGACAACGACATGATAACAGCTTCCCTCGAAAAGAACAATATGACACAAAACAGAAGAACAGATTTTGGAAATTTAAAAAATCCACCTTTATATGTATACACATCGTTGACAGCATTATCAATATTGTACTTGATTTATATTGATTGATGTTCATTAATTTTACACAAACATCATCACTGATATATGATATTTGTACATGTATTGTGACAATAGGCCATATATAGCAGAAAAAAGCACATCATGAGCTGTTGAGCTAATCGTTGGTATAGAATGTTTATACAATACATTTACATATGTAAACACTACACGATGCATAATGGAAATTGGACTGCCAACCAAAAATGAAAGAGAGGGAGAGAGAGAGAGAGAGAGAGAAAAGAGAAGCAGGTAAGGGAAGGTTGGAGAGATATATTCAGATATAGCATCAAATAGAAAATGTAAAGTTTGTGGATACCAAACACCTTGATTACATTCCTGGCAACTGAAATTTTCATATTAGAAGGTACAATGATACATGCTAATAGGGACTTTTAGATTTACACGACGAGAACGTGGACCGCCACGTGTGACATCCTTTTAAGGTTATGTGACGTCCTTTAAAGGCACTACCAGGCACGGCCCAGTGCCTTAACACAATGTCACACGCGGCAGTCCACGCTCTCGTCGTGTAAATCTAAAAGTCCCTATTAAAAACAAGCTGATATGCGTAGATCTCCATGTTACAATTAAGGCATTACTAATACAAATAGTTTTGTAATCGTTATAATACAGGTTTAAGGGATGACCCGGCCGACAACGACAACGACAACGATACTGCCCATTAAAGGCGCAACCTACATACGACATTGCAGGGTGTAAGTAACATAACAGTAATGTTGGTTTCGAAGATTATCACACCTGAAATTAGAATGCGCAGGAAGTTTTACGAACTTATACAATTTAATTTTTTTCTCCAGAAATAATTTTCCTTCATATCAATGCCAGGAATTAGACGTCGATTCCGTATTCACAGCGGAGTGCTGAAAACTATGTTTTAAAGTCGAAATTGCAAAATCATTACCATCACCATTACAGTGGTATGAAAACAAAAATTGTTAGCTATTTATATATTGAGTATAGTTAAGATAATATACAAGGTGATAATTCATGGCATATCATGATACCTTGGGATTTAACTCGAGTTTCTGTCTTAAAGGAATAATAGATTTTTTTTCAATTTCATGCGCTTGAACGAAAACATCAAATTTTCAATAAATGTGAAGGGAAACACATTTTCTCTCAAAACAAAATTCCCCAATCTCTATCTCTCTCAGTAAATATAATAAACAAGACCAAACAAAACTTTTTCCCTTCTTCAAAAGATGAATATATCAGACAAGCAATATTCATTGAAAGCCTCCCTTGATATCAGTGAATGCGTTACAAATGAAACCACACCATTACGACGCCTCTTTTTACTCGACATCAAACCTGAGTAACATCTCAGTATGATGGTGATAATGGTATTCCTGAATCTGTACATTACTGTCAAAAGGGGTCCAGTCTCTTCTGTCAAGCGTAGCTATCAAAACAGCCTGCATCATTATGACCATCGCCATGTCCGAAGAGATTTACTCCTATTATGCATCTGTGCATATTGTATGGGTGCCCACGATCGGCTACCAGCACTATTCACCACCTCCATCATCTAACAAATGATATATTTGCCAGAAAATGGGTTTAAACATCCTGACTTTTGAAGGCAGTTGAGGCGAAAGCCCGCTGATAAAGGATTAAATTAAGCAGTGTTTATTAAATATTGTGATTTACTCGTTTAGGGATTTCTCCATTAAGCGCAAAAGTCATGAAACGGTGTGAGAAGCATCCATTTTCTGTGGTACGTGAGGTAATAACTCGTCTCTAATAATTACCTATTCATTCACAAACACTTGTTTTCACTGCTTATGATTTACGTCACGTTCTTATTTATTGGCTCTAAAATCTTGTATTTTACCTCTGGCAGACGGAAAGGGGGTCATGAATATTCTACCCTGCGGTCTGAAATAAGTATCTTTCCAGCAAGGGAGAGTTGGATTACTTTCCCTGATGGACCTCTCTATCTGTGCTTGCATCTCTCATCGGTTTTCAATTTTAGTGTAAAAAGGATATTATAAGGTGTAGCAACTTTATCATTATCAAATTATACTGAAATATCGCTGAAATATATATTGTGATCATATAAGGGAACCAAAATAATAAACTTTTTTACTAGGTTTTTTCTCCAAAATACAACAAGTGTTTATTTATTTTGCACTTAAATGATGAATTTCATTTTTTAAACTGAATTCATATCCAGATTTTGTGCCTTCCTTACTTGTTGGTTTTTCTATGTTGATAATGATTTCGTAAAACAAAATAGTCTCTTAAAGTTGTATAATATATTTGCTGTTCTTATGGAGAAAAAAATTGAAATGAGATGAACTTACTTTTATTTTGTTAATGCTCTTACAATTGTATCGTCTGTTATTGTACCGACAATTACTTTTATTTGATCAAATGAAATTCTCCTTCGATTAAAGATTAAACGGAAAGAGTATATTATTGCATCAAAGTAGGCTTATCCTTAGATAATAGAAGAGGAAGTTACATATATTGATTTAAAAAATACCTTCTTTTGAAGTTGCCTATAAAACTGTCGTTGACTGAAATAATGTCATACCCTCATGATTGGCTGTTATAACTAAGACCCTCTTCCCTCTCTGACGCCGAAATCCACGAAATTCGAAACGAGTAAGTGAGCAGTCTGCTCCAACCACTGAAAAAACATCAAACCAAGAAATCAAATAACTGAAACTTACGGCGTGAGAACGAATATATTCTATGAAATTTTGTTTTTAAAATTACAGAATTTGTTGTTACTTGGCCGAAATGCGATCTCGCAATAACAGTGTTGTTCAAGAGCGTAAAGCTTATGAAGTCAAACTAAACTTTAAAAATGAAGATGAGTAGTTCGCATGGATTTCCCACTAGTAAAAGCACATTGGACACATTTCGAAAGCCTGTGCTTAAGTTATAAACTGAGCCCAATCTGAAATATCAAGTAACATACAAATTAACAGATTTTGCATGTATTATTGATAATGCATAACTGCAAAGTAAATAAGCACCACTGCTACCTAGTGGTAAGATTAATTACATCATTATATCACCTCAAAATTTGAATCAAAATGTACAAGTACCCCCCTCCCCTGGTCTAAGAAGGATTAATTTTGTTCTGGATGAAATACATGGATCAAATGTTCTCGGTTACTCCCCCCCCCCCCCCCCCCCCATCCCCCGACGCTAAAATCCAGATACGCCATGGGGGCTCATTATCTCCATAATATGGAAAGAAAGAAAGAATGCAACTACCGTGTCTAGATTTCTAGTCCCCTTATAATTTTCCACCAAAATAAAGACTTTAAATATTCATGCAAGACCCTACGGTGTCAGATGATTGAAATTTTCCATACCTCTTTCTGGACATTTCGAATCTTCTTGGTGATCCCTTTTAAGGTAATGAGGCAATTTGTCGGGCTGCTTTCATCATAATGTTTGTGGCCGTCGGTCGAACTTCCGTCTAATGTTATCTATTAATCATGTCAATCTGAGTTCTAATTTCTCTCTTAAAATGAGAAATCCCTCGGGAATCTCATTTTCTGGTTTGATATGGAACGCCTCATTCACTCTACCAAGAGAATTGGTTTAATAGTTAGAAGTGCAATCAATAAAGACAAGAGTAAGGACGTCACTAGAGAAGCTTGTGACCCTCCCTCCTCCACTGCCCCAATTACAAATATTTAAAAATATATGTGTGTGAATTCATAATCGTTGTGACAATGTTTGGTAGATTGAAGATTTGTTTCCCTGATTCTTGTTTTAGAGCATGAAATGTTAAAGTATATAAGAAATTTTACTTTGTTAAAGGGCATTTGGCATGTTTTACTTAATGTTCGGAGGTCTACTCGAAAAAATAAATTGTAATCACAACACTGTTCCTCAGTACAGTGTTCTCCAGATCAGTAAAATCTAGTACAGTATAATTGACAAAGACACTGCCAATTACGCACACAGACGCACACGCACACACACACACACACACACACACTCACGCACATAAAACGCACATGCGCACTCATCCTGGAGAATATAAGGTACTAACCCTGGAGACAGAATACGCGGTGTAACCGCAAACCTTGCTCAAATCTATTCTCTTTTTTCAAACAAGGAATGAATATCGAATACGCACGTTTCTTCTTAAAATTTGAGACAGAGAGGCAGTTATTAAATGTCATTGTCCCTACAAATAAATAAATCTGTGATGTATATCTGTTATCACTCACAATCTTCGTCCAGATTAAGTTACAATTATCGAGCAACCATCACTAATTGTGTGCCATAATCTGCCGATCTTCGAGTCATAAACGTCCGCTTAGCTCCCAGGGGGATGTCGCGCTTAGGGGCATGTATTATTAAAAGTTGGCAAAATGTAATTTCTACCATTCAGGGTTCTAATTTTAATAGTTGATCGGAATTTTCAGGGGGTAGGGAAAATATATATTCATTATAATTACAATTATGTGTATGTATATTTATGTTTATATAATATATATAGATATAATAGATATATAGTTGTGTTTTAGTTGCACAGCTTTGTACAAACATAAATAACGAATTTAAATGTTCTTATGCCCCAATTATCATTGCCTGATCATTTACACTGTTTTTAACTCTTTCAGGGTGGCTAAGTTTTATAAACAATAAATTATGACCAAAGTTTAATGTTAGTTGTAAATATAACATGTCAACGGGAATAAAACTTTCGCATTTGATGTGTAACAATGCACATTATTCTCTTGGAAACTTAAAGTTGCTACCTAAGTAACCGAAGAGATGAATTTTGTATTTCCTCTAACTGTAAACTGGTGCTCTTGATTTTAAAAAATAATAATTTAGACGGGTATTTGCAAATTTGCAAACATCGAAAATCACATGTCAAGTTGATTCTCAAACGATCCTTGATAATAATAAGCTTTCCAAGGCTTCCTCTACGACCAGACAACTTCAATAATTCTTTTTGGGGATTCAAAATGAGCACTTCGAATCAGGAAGAGGGTACATTCTTATATTTGTCAATTATGTTCTAATGTTTCAATAGCTTTCGGCTATTGCATGGGAACATGAAAAATCTCTCGATTTTATGTTTTGGTAGAATGAGGAATGTAACATGATCATTACAATTTGACGAAAAGGCTGACGGCGTAAATCAATCATTAATGTTTTTTTAAAGAACTGAATTTGTTTATTGGATGCTATTAGGTGTGCTCAGTTGGTATCTATCCATGTTAGTGCTACAGGCGTAACCAAATTACACCAAATTATCGATCTCATGTGCCAAGCTACCAATGAACTGTTTATAACATGATTAAGCAAACTGGAAGGAAGTGATTTCATTGTCCCAACTGCAGAAAGCCTCCAGCAAAATTTCGTCTTATAATATTTCCTTTCTTTAAATGGAATACTACATGATAAATACATTTTTATTTATGTGTTTTACTACTACAATGTGTCCAATTAAAAAAATAAAAAATAATAAATGAAATTGTCATATTTATTTACTATATTCTCAGGATTCAACGAAAATGTGTTTTTGTCCTCAAGAACCCGCGAAGAAATTATGTTGATTCTCCATTTCAATTGGAAATACCCATGGTGACTACCTAGTTGCTATGATAACATGTTCATATATTTATATATAACGATACTTATGCAAATATATATATATATATATATATATATATATATACATGCATACAATATTATAACCCTAAATGGTGCATTAACCGGACATCATAAAAACTGGTATATTACCCTATAACCCTAAACCTTACCCAAAATTCAAATTAATTTAACTAATTAAACTAATGACTAATGATTAAACCTATTTTGGGGGGAGGCCTTTAAGTTTCCTCAGCCTGTAAAAGTACGTGAAGGGCAGTAATTATATTGCTCAATCGTTAACAGGACACGAAAATGTCCTGCCAATGACACTGTCTACTCAATGATTCATTTTCACTATATATGCCAGTCTGATGACGCTGTAAGATGTATACACGTATACAGCATATATATATACCCCTCCATCGACCGACAACTCCTGCAAAAAGCCATCCATTTCGCCAAGAGGTTCACCACCATAACCCCATCCGAAGCAGAAATCATCTTCCAAGCCAAGAACACCCTCCTCTTCCATGGTAACATGTCCTGGCAAAAGGCAACAGCTGATGATCTTTTCGATGTCACAATGGGATCATACGATGGCGCAGAAATATGCGAGCTCGTAGGCTCGTTCATCTTGGATAAGATCAAAAGTATAGTGCCCAAGGAAAACATCGGGCTCTACAGGGATGATGGTCTAGCGATCGTCCACAAGCCAGCAAGAGCAGCAGAGACCATACAAAAGAAGCTATGTGAGAAATTCAGAAAGATAGGCCTCCAGGTGACAGCCAGTGCTAACTCTACCGTCGTAGACTTCCTAGATGTCACGTTCGATCTCAATAGCAAAGAACACAAACCATCTTCGAAGCCTGGCAATACCCAGCTGTGCGTCCATGTAGAATCCAACCACCCCCCAACCGTCACCAAGAAGATTCCGCACTCCATACAAACCCGCCTATCCACGATCTCCAGCAGCGCAGAGGTATTCAACGAGGCGAAACCAGAGTATGAAAAAGCACTCCGTGATGCCGGCCACAACACCAACTTAACCTACACACCCAAGACCAGTGACATCAACAACAAAGAGCACCACAAACGAAAGCGCAACATAACCTGGTTCAACCCCCATATAGCAAGCACGCGAAGACGAATATTGGCAGAAGGTTCCTCGCTCTCGTAGACCAGCACTTCCCAAAGGAACACCAACTACACAAAATCTGCAATAGGAACACACTGAAGATCAGCTACAGCTGCATGGATAACATAGCAACCATAACCAAGGCCCACAACAATAGAATCATCAACCACAACCCCAACCGAGACCCAGAAACCTGCAACTGCAGAAAGAAAGACGACTGCCCCCTCCCAGGAAAATGCACAACCAAAAATATCGTCTATGAAGCGAAGGTTGTGACCCCCAACGATGAGAAACTCTACATTGGACTCACATCCACATCCTTCAAAGCCAGATATGCAACTCACAAAGCAAGCTTCACCCACCAAGAAAAGAGATACCAGACCGAGCTAAGCAAACACACCTGGATGCTGAAAGACGACGGGACACCCTACACAATATCATGGAGAATCATCCGGCACGCCCAACCATACTCACCCAGAACAAATCGCTGCAATCTCTGCCTATGGGAAAAGTACCACATCATCACTGCTGAGAAATCCACCATCCTTAACTCTAGAACTGAACTCATTTCCACATGTAAACATAAGAGAAAGTTTCTACTCTCTGAATATGGTTACCCCCCCCCCCCCCTGTACCACCATGACCTTTCCCCTTACCCTTAAACCAGTCTTAATTCCACTATTGTATTATTGCGTTCGCCCTTACTTGGGTATTATTTGTGTCTCTTTTGTATTCTTGCCTGACTGCACATGAGTGTTTTTAACTTCGCCATGATTGTATTATGTATTTAGTTACTGATGAGCCTTCTGGCGAAACAGTCTGTATAACTCGTACCAATAAAGTGTAACCTTCCAACTCCTATATATATATATATTTATATATATATAAGAAAGAATTGAGTTCAGTAAGGAGCAAAAACACAAGAAATAATGAACAGATATATATGTACATACATCCGGTACGTATTTGTGTAGATATAATGGAAAAGGCAGGCGAAGATCATGCTCCTGACCTGGATGGGCATGAGCGGTTCAAAGTCGTCCAGACTCGAAACCTCTTCAAAGTCATGACATTTGGCTACGTTTACATCGGGAAAGTTACAAAATCACGGTAGATTTCCAAAAGAATCACACTTCACACGAACGAGGTAGGTTCAATGAACAATGAGCGCCTCTGGGCTTGTAGTTTGAGTGTTCAGTGTCACTATCTTGATTCAGATGCAGTTCATCTCCGGGCATTCACTGACCAATAACAAGATGAAAAGACGACCCAAAGGGGAAATGAAATATTATTCCCACAGCTCCGTGCTTCTTGCTCGAATACCAAAACGAGCTGCATTCGATTGTGAATATTGATATCATGCCCACAATAAGTATTGTGCCAATGTTGACACATTTCCCCAGTCACAGGGAAATATGCAATATGGTCGGAGATAATATGAAAACGGTCATGATTATCTGGTTTTTAATTTAAGTTCTCCTCCTCCTTAAAAACACTCTCTTTCTATTTCTCTCACTCCATCCATCTCTTTATTTCGTTACATTAGTCTTAATAATTTCGTTATTATAAGGATCAACATTTCAAAGGATTTCAATCATTCTGTAAAATGTCAGATAAAACGGTTTTCATTCTCGATAGTTTTGATGCAACGGCAATAACGCAAACAAATTTGGCAATGCACTGCCCGAGTTTAGGGAAAGGTTAAATACAAGAGTTATATTCACCATGGTCTGTTTCAAACCTTTTTATAGATAAGCTAATGCATTTGTCACCTCGTTTCTCTCCTTCCCCAAAGTCATATAGCTGTCAGAACTGATATTTCTGGACAGTTATCAGATATTGAAATCGGAATCGCTCGGTCCATGGTTCGACTATATTACGCATCAAATGATTTGAACCAAAGTGTGAAGAAAGGCGCGTTTTCACTGCGCTTTACTTTCTGCTTCTCAACAAGAACTATCTACTGACTTTGAACTCGGAAATGAAAGTAACTGAAATCAGTGAAAACGTACATTTATTTCCAATAAGCTCTATGGTCACAAGGAAGGGCAGATGATTATCTGATTGTTTTAAGTAGTATACAATAAGATTTTTTGAATTATGACATGTCCTTGTCCTCGGGAGGCCTAGGGGATCTCCTAAAATTCGAAAGTTAATTATATTTAACGTAATCCGATATGACGATGGATACGGTACCAAAATAAATATCGATTTGAAACAGAAAGATGTGTTTAATATTCAACATTCCAAATTGTGTTGATAAATGTTATCTATGACATCGAAAGAAATGTCTTTTCATTTTGATTGATCACAATCAGGCTGAATATAACTTGCCTTTGAACAAGCAAAGGAAGTTGCAGTAGATATTTTAATGAAGGATGTTACTATAAATACGAAACGCAATTCGGGCTGTTTTGTGTATAATAAATCACGTATGAGTGTGAGTGAGTGCGTGCGTGTACGTGTGTGAGCGCGTGTGTTTAGGTCGGGAGGGGGCATGTTACGCGTGGATGGATTTTCTTTTGTATTCGTACATGGTTAGCAACAATGTTCTATTCCAGCTTAGTTCTCAATGTTGCAGACTTAGGTTGGTCACTATGACTTCATAATATATACCCTTGAGGAAGAGAAATTACGCCCGACTGTAGATATGGATCAATACGTACGTAGCGCCTTGGCTATGCTGGCTTTTAATTTCGACATGCAGCCATTGCGGGGACTAAAGGGTCGCCTGAAAACACTAATCCAGGAGTAAAGGGTAACCCGAAGTGCTAGAAAGCTCGTGTGTCCACCAAGTCATCAATGAAGTATGGGTTAGTAAAGAGACATCGACAGACAGACAGAAATGAGTGGTCGCGTGTACGTGAGGAAGAGAGAAAGGGAGGCAATAACAAAAAGTGAGACAGAGGGGGGGGGGGGGGGGGGATGGGGAGGGGGGGGATGGGGAGGGGGGAAATGAATTAACGTGAGTATGATCAGACCAACACATTATAAGAAAGGGGATGAAGAATAAGAATAAAAAGTAGAAGCAGAAGAATCCACCTATGACAAAATAGAATGCGATAGCAAAGAGACTTGGAATAAGGAAGATAGAATTGGGAAGAGGGAGGAGAAGGAAAATAATTTTAAAGTGAAAAAGTGAGATAGACAGGGGACAGGAGAATGTGGGAGTAGTGTGGATGAGGGAACAGAGCGAGTGAGTGAGATTGAGGGAGAGAGGGGAACACAACAAAAATGTTATAGAGCGAAAAAAAAATCGAGAGGGTGTGTGTGTGTGTGTGTGTGTGTGAGAGAGAGAGAGAGATAAAGAAGGATGGGATAGATGGAGTGAGACAGAGGGGGATAAAAGGGGGATGTAATAAACAGGAAGTGAGCACTGATGATAAAATCCGAGTATGATAAGTCAGACTAACGCATTATGGAGAAGCAGGAAAAGAGGATATAGTGGTAATGATGATGGTGATGAGGATGAGGATGATAATGATGATGATGATTAAAAAGAAGGGGAAAAGCATAAGAAGCCTTCGTTGACAGAGTATGAGTTGATGGCGAAAGAGACGTATAGATAAAGGGAGATGGAAAGGGGTGAGAAGGAACGTGAAATTACCGATACAAAATATACAGATAGAGATGGAGAGAGGAACATTAGAGACGATGTGGTAAAAAAGTGATAGCACGACCAGAAATAAGTGGTGAAGCGAAAGTCAAAATAAAAATGATCATTTTCTTAAGTGTCACTGGTGTTTCACGATGCAAAGTGTATATTGAATAATTTATATATTTTGAAAGGAGTGCTATACATATATAAGTATTGATATATTGTTTTTATAAATCAAAGAGTGCAGTGGTGTATATTTATTCTTATTGTGTGCTCTTTCCCTCCTCCAGAAACGTTCTATCTGGTTTGTGTCATTCGCAAAAGATACAATTGCGTTCTATTGGTTCATCAATAACATTAGTTCATCCCACGTATCTGTCACTATCAACCTGTAATTGGATGCTAGTATTGAATAATGGTGTCTAAACCGGATGTATCAATCAAACAGTAGCATCAGTAAATGTGTCGTATTCAAACAAGACTCTAACCCTTCGATGTGTCTTGATTAGGATGTGCTGATTTCTTGTACTTTGGCACTCTTAACACACATAGGTTTAATACACTTTCAGGATCCAGGGTTCTGATGTCGTCTCAATTCATTCAATTCAATAATGGTTTTATTAAAAAACAATGCCTCGCAGCCAAAATGCTGAATTGTGCATGTTTACATGTATACATGAGCTTCATTACATAACATTATATTTCATTTGTTACAATCATTCATTCAAACAGTATTGGTTCTCCTCAAGCAGTAGTGACTTTTCTGTTTTTTAACTAGCCAATTCAATGAAAAGGGATT